AATTTCATCAACTAGTCAAAATCTCAACCAACTATTTTTTAAGTTTGCCACCAATAGTCAAAAAGGTATTGTACGATACATATATCTGCAGTATAACGTCGTATTATTAGTCTGTCGTTTTAATTTTAAATTTTAAATAATAGTGAATTATAAATTCGTGAGTGGTTTATAATTAATTGTATTAAATTATTTCCAGCAATATGGTTTAATTTTAATACAAAATAATGTCAAATAATTTTATGATTGCTTTGTTACTTAATAACCTTTTAGAGTCTATAATAATATTAATAATAATAATAATAATAATAATATTAATTTATTTTCACCTAAGATATGAATAAGAGATAAATATATCTTTGTATAAGTTGGTCACTATCTAGCCTTAGCTGCGTGGAATAGAGTTTGATTGTTTTTGTCGTAAAATATTAATCAATATAAAATTTATATATAAATACATATTTTATATTTATATATATATTTTTTTTATTAATATTTAATATTGTTGGCTGTACATAATTAAAATGATGTACGTATTATTAATTTAACAAACTAAAAAATAAAATTACAGTGGAATTATTTTAACAGTGACAGTTGTAAATAACAATTGAATATACTTATATAACAATTAAAATTTGTCCTAACTTACATAATATTAAAATTAATTTCATTAAAAACTGTCTTAAAGTGACTAGGATAATAACAGTTTTGAGGATTAATTTTATATTTCATAAAGAAGTTTACAAAAGTATAATTAGGTCCTGATTGTGTTGGTTTAATTCTTAATTTAAAAATAATTATATTAGTATTAAGCTTCAAATTAGTGTATATTTATTAATTTATTCTTTATTGATTTCAAAAAAATAATAAGTTTCAACAATAAAGGCCATTAGTTACAAACAGGATATGAGTTTATATGATTAAATACAAATATAATGTATATAATTAGGTTACATTTTTTTTAAATTTTTTTCATATGAGATCGAACAATTTTGCTTGTTTTGTAAAATTAATAATATCTCGGTTTTTTTTCATGATTGGAACCAAGTGTGGTGTCCAGATTGTATGATATTTTATGCTCAGCTCGCTCTTGTTTGTACTTTAAACTTCAGTTTACACGAGTATTAATGATTTAATAATTTTTAATTTTAACTAATTTTTTTATTATTTTAATTGTGTAAAAAAATTTCAAAAATCTGCAGTCTTAATTTTAAAAATAAGCGTTAGAATTTTAAATGTTGATAAATATCAAGAAATCTGCCTATTTTTGGTAGTTAAAAGTTGATAAACATTTTAATATGTATACTTAAAACTTGAAAATGTAATAAAATATATAATATATAAAATATATTGTAATATATTATGCACAAGTACATAGTACAAGTACAATATAATGTACTGGAAATGTTGCTCTTTCCAGTGAACCAAAAAAGTTTATCGAAGCATAATTTTATTTATTTTAAAAATCATACTTTTATTGATCTAGTTTCACATAGTAATTGATGTATCTATGTTTAAATATATTTCATATTGTTTAATATTAATTACATTATTTTACCTATTGTTTTAATATGATTTTGCATGCTATATATTAATGTAAGTAATTGGGTTCAGACTAGTTAAATGTTCTATTTATATATAAATAATTAAATAAATAAAAAATAATTCTAATCCAAGGAAATTTCACTTTATTTTTTATATTTCAGAGCTAGTATATCAATAAAATGGATGTTATGATCAGATCATAGTGAAGTAATTTATAATAATATTGTGTTTTGTATTAACGCTGTGTATACGTACGATTAGTCTGTGTAACGTACCCAACCGAGAGGTGCCAATACGTGAACCATAATATGTACAACACGGACCAGTGCAGGTGAAGACATGGCAATTTTAAATTTCATCATCGGATGAATGCAAAATATGAACTCGCAACAGGTCTCTACTTGACAGTTCATAACACATAAAGTGTTGAAAACAAAAATATTTACATTCGTCCATCGCCGTCACGTTGCATTTACCACTAGTGAAAATTGTTGTTGAAACAATTTATTAGTTACTTAGTAAGACTAATCTTCGAGAGTTCTAGAACTTATACTTATATTTAATTGTAACAGGTTAAATAAAAATCGGGATACAGGTAATCTAAATCCAAAATTAATTATGTGTCTTTTTGTATAATAATGTCTAGATTTTATCATATATTCTGGAAATAAATTTAAACAATTAATTAAATAATATGGGAAAATGGTAGTTATCTTTTTTTGAAAATTGAATATTGGTTTACACAAATTAAAAAATAACAAAATTTTTATTGACTGTTTACTAAAAGGTTAAAACGTTGATAAAATTTGAATATAGTGATATGAGTGTTGTAGGAAGGAAAAATGTTAATCTTTATTTGAAGGTACCGGATCAATAACCAGTTACGTCCAATTTTTCCAAAATTCTTTTTTTAACACACAAATGTTAAAAGAAAAATTCTCTGTCGGTTTTCAATAATAATAATTGCTATATCCAATTAATGTCAAGGGAAATAAATGACAAAAATATATATATGTTTTTGTTAGGTGCAACAACCAAACACGTCCGGACGTACCTCACGTATTTTTATCTCTCGGTACAAGAACCAGTTACGTCTGGACGTAACTGGTTTTTGCATCAAACATATGCACAGACATTTTATCATTTTATTCGGTGTAATAAAAAGGTTGAACATGTTAATTAAATAATAATTATATATTTTATTCCTTACATATATTTAAATACAAATAATTTAATATAATATATTGTATTAAAATTGATATCACTGTACACTTGTTACTATCTTAATATTAGAAGTTATTTTAGCTATAGTTAAACAGCAGTGTTTACTATATACTTAATAAGGAAAAATTTTAATTAATTTAGTTAATCTGTTTCTATTATAATAAATATTAAATTTTTTACAATATCACATATTTTAATAATTTTTTTACAATACTTACTTAAACATTTACTAAAAAAAGCTAATAATTTATATTTTTTTGTTATGTAATATTTTTGTTTATGAGTAATGACAATAAAATAAAATTTAATTATTTTTTATTAATGTTATAATTCAATGAATAATTAACCAATAGTGGTTGGTTTCTCTATACATATATATATATGTTAACTGGTAATATCATAAAACCCATACAATTCGTTTTTATTTCGGAAAAATAAAATACATTTTTAATTTGTAGAACAATAAAATTACATTAAACATTTGTTTTCCGAAATTTGGTACAATAACCGATTATAACTTAGACGTAGGTAACTTGTTAATTAACAGGATAAAAGTTAGAATTCTGACAAATGTTGAAATAATTGAAATATAAACCTAAATATTTAAACAAGTTATATTTTATACATTATATACTCAATATATTATATCCCAAAAAATATTATGACACTTTGAATATTTTTAAATATTTTATTAATAAAAAATAGATCATTTTTTTAATATTTTAAAATTTAAAAATAACTGGTTATTAGTAAGACTGGGGTTCGAGAGTTCTAGAACTTATATTTGATTGCAGCAGGTTAATAAAAATTGGGATCAAGGGCGTATTTGAGTTGAGGCCAAGGGGAGATCTAGGGGGGGGGGGTTGAGGGGGTCAGCTGACTCACAGTTAATATTTGTTGACAAAATTTACCTCTTGGAAATTTTTTTTCTCTTCTTAGATCTTGATTTGGACTCTTGGACAGTTGGCCCATCGGAGTTACTTGAAAAATGAGTGCCATGTATATTCAAAATATAAAATTTTCAATTCATAATTTATATTTTAAATTATATAATTTTAGTAGAAAATTAAGTAAATCATATATTATTCCGTACGTTTGTTGCGCTGATAAAATTAGATTATATTTATTAATCGTAAATATGTCATTATCGGTGGTATCACTAATTCTAAAATGTAATATAAATATACTTATACACTTTTATGACCATATTGTGTTTTTTTTTTTTTTACAAGGTATTCATTTCTAATTCAGTTTTATCCCTAATAAATGGCCTCTTGAAATGGCTTGACCCACAGTCCCGACTCTGGATCCGCCCCGGGTTGTGGCCATGGGGGGGGGGGTGAAACTAATTTTTCTTCAATACAAACTTAAAAATAATTTACAGTTCATTAACTACAGCTTATGATCCTGTTATAATGATAACATATTATAATGATAGACTAATATTTATATTCTTTGTTATTTATACATTACATTTTTTAAATAAATCAATGTATTATATGAAAAAAAATACGAGTCATAGGGTGGGGGCAAATGCTTTCGCACCCTCCCATACGGCGTTGATCAGGATACAGGTAATCTATTTCAAAATTAATTTTGTGTCTTTCCGTATAATAATGTTTTTGGTTTTTATCATATATTCTGAAAATAAAGAAATTTAAATGATAAAAAGATATTTTGAAATATTTTGAGTAACATAAAACGAATGTTTTTTTGTTTTCTTACATTTGCGTTCATATCGTATTCCAAATATGTTTATGGAAATACAATAACTTGAATGAATTTGTTTGATACATTTCAAAATTCGTTCAATATAAGTATTCATGTTATAACAAAAATAATGTGGAAGATCAATGGGATGTTTTTAATATAAAAACTTAAATTATCAATTATAATTTTAGAGGAATCTATCAAAGATTGTTTATTTATATGAATTTGTTTGACAATTTTGGCCGAATTAGAAATTTCGTAATAAATTTATATAAATAGGTTTGAGAAAATGTATGAAAATTAAATAAACTGTGGATGATGACACAGGAAATCCGGATTTTCACTAAAGAGGGATGGCGTACATATTTAGTGTACATCATACAATTAGGACAATATAATTGTTATAACCTATGGAGTTGAATTGAAAAAATTCTAAAATCTGTTAAAAAATTTATTGGAATTACGTTTTAAATGATAACATAATATCTATTTAGCAAGAGGTAAGATTTCCATGTGGTCTGGATTCATTCATCTTTTTTTCCCCATAAGCTGAGTATAATCTGTGCTGCACTTTGTTTGGCGATTAATTGTTTGTTACTGTGTACTACGGAGGAATAATGTTTATATTAAGATAGCCGGTTGATATAATAATATTTACCAGTCACAACAAAATCGATCGCATTGCATCGGATTGAATATTTGTCTTCCAAATTGTAACCATTTTTGGTAGACGATATAAGCGTGTATATCGGTAGTGGGTAGTTATTTTTGATGCACACGTTTTCCAGTGTAGCCATGTAGTTTTTTTTGGACCTTATCAACGGGCTGATGGTTTTTAATCTATCAAAAATCATATTAATTATTTCGGCATTATTGGTAATACGGTGCACGTAATTATTATTTTTACTCTTTTTTGTTGAATGGTCTAATATGCGAAGAAAGTGTCCCGAATTTCTGTTTTTTTAGAATTGAACGTAACATTTCAGTAGCAGCGTTTTCTTTCGCCTCGAATTTGCTGATACCAAATCCTTCGACTTCCGATTAACACAGACACTCAATTAAATAAATCATTATCATAATATTCAGATTTCCTACTTACCGTACATTCCGAAAAGCGTACAAGAATAATTGTAAATAAACCTAAGGTCGCATGCTACTTTTCCCAAAAGCCGATAAACTGGAGTTATTCCATGATTAACGATTTTACTCCTAAGCAATTCTATAGAAGATCTCAAATCGGATACCATAGCACTCTTATCTTTAAGCTGTATTGGTTGCGGCTTCTTATCATCAGTTATAGAGTTATTATTTTATGTAGTATAGAAAATGTTTTTATAAAATATTTATGCATATACTTGATCATTCTTAGAATCGTGAATTACTAAGTTTTCTTGTTTAACATTTTTAGGAACAAATGTGGATTGGAAAGGTTCGGTTTCTATTTTAATTTCTGTATAGAAATCGTTTGTCGGAATATTTAAAAATTTTGCAATTTCATTATATCTCAAAATAACTAAATATATTGATTTTTCCATCCAATTTACAGTAGCTTTTGATTCTTCGAGTTCTGTATAATATAATAAAAACTGTAGATTTAGTATATTTTTGTTTCCACAAGACTTAAGATTTATTCTTATATAATTACATTAGTACTCGTTTTAAGAATTAGTATAATCTTGAACAATTGTTGTTAAACCAACGTGTTTTTTTGACGAAATAAATTTATCAATAATCTATGTATGCAGATAAGTGGTTTACTTGGTAAAAATAATTTTACAGTGACTTATTTACAAAACATTACTTTTTAATTATATTTTTTTGTGAAAAAGTTTGATTTTTTAGTGATTCTGATGAAAAATTAATTATCTACAAAACATTGAAACTTATTTTTAACCAAACAAGATTGATTTGTTTTGTTTGTTGTAAATGAGTATATTTAATTAGATAACATATCATGGGATAAGAGACATAGATCAGCGGTGCGCAACTTTGGGGTCGCGAAATTTTATTAGGGGGTCACCAATAATTTTACACCAAATGAAAAAGTTATATACTATGTACATTATTTTATAGTTTTATATAAATAAAATTATTTTGTCCCGTCAATGGCTGTATCAATTGTAATATTATGTCATATCTTAATGTGGCGATAACAAGTTTTATTGAACACATAGTACATGGGTTATTTTTAAATTGAAACTAAAACCAAAAAACTTCAACCAGATATTAATAAAGTACTCTTTAATGCTATAAGTGTAATTTATTTTATAAAATCAAAGTTATTAAATTCTAGACTTTTTATTATACTTTGCAATGAAATGGTTCTTACCATGAAAAATTGATTCTTCGTATTGAAGTAAGGTGGTTGTCTCATGGCAAAATATTATGACGCCTTTTTGAACTTAGAGATGAAGCACGAATTTTTCTTCTGGAACGTAATAATAAATTTTCGGAACATTTTTTAGACAAGCAATAGCAATTATAGGTTATCTTGCAGATATATATGATAAACTAAATTGTCTAAATTAAAGCCTACAAGGGAAAAATACAAATATTTTCTTTATTTCTGATAAAATCAATGCTTTCAAAAAGAAAATTCTTCTGTGGAAAAATTATATCGACGATGACAAATTTGAAATGTTTTCGTGTTTATCGGAATTCCTCAGTAATAACGATGTGGATACTAATATGAGAAAATAAATTATAATTGCTCATCTAATAAGTTTACAAAAAAATTTTAATGCACGGTTTGAAGATTTTCCAGAAGAAAATCTATGTTGGATAAGAAATCCATTTAATTTTAATATTAATGAAATAAAATTAGAAAATTTAAAAATAAGTGAAGAACTTATTGACTTGTCATCAGATGAAAATTTACAAATCAGATTTCAAGAAAATGCATGTGATACATTTTGGATTTGTATCAAATCTGAATATCTAGAATTATCAAAACAAGCCATATCAATTTTACTTCCTTTTGCATCAACTTATTTATGCGAAACAGCATTTTCAACACTAGAGATAATTATAAACAAATATCGATTCAGATTAAATGATGAAACTAATTTAAGAGTAGTAATGTCAAATATCAAACCAAATATAGAATTAATCATGTCTACAATGCAAGCTCAGGTTTCTCATTAAAATAATTTAATAGTAATTTTATAATTTATCATAAAAAATATTAAAATGTTGATTATCAGTATAATAATTTCAGTAGTTTTTTTTTTTAATTTCAGATTTTATCTAACTCTAATTTTGTATTTTTTTTTTTCATTTTTGGATTAATTAAATAAAATAAATATTAAAATTGCCTAAAATTAACGATTTGATTTATATGAATAATATGTTTGTATACTTTAAGACTATTAAGTAAATATATATTATACATTATACACTTACATAATGTTGGTAGAAAGAGTTGTATCAAAATAAATAATTTTGGGGGTTGTTGAACAAAAAAGGTTGCGCACCACTGACCTATATCATCAAACTAACCAACATTTAAATTATTCAGTTCGAACTTTGTACCATAAAATATATTTATGATTTGTAAATAGAAAGAAATATGATGTTTAACATGTTTATATAAATTTGTAAATTAAAATATATAAATTTTAATCTTATTTCATTTATAAAATTTGATGAGAACTGATGCCATTTCTTAACTTTGACCGTAGTTGATTCTATGTAATATGCACATAATTTACATACTATTCAAAATATATTAATTCTATAAAGTGATACGAGTACATTAATATTTAATATTATTACTTATTACAAATCAGTATTATTTATATTGATTTTCTAAAAATGTAAATACATTATAACTATGAACTATTATATTATTATATCAATTATTATTTAAATGTTAGTCTATGAATACATTTTTATTGAAAGAACTTAACTTTTATTGTCCTTTGTCATTTCGTCTATGAGTAAGAAACGAGATTTTTCTACGTTTATCAAATATTTTAATTTGTCAATAATTTTGCCTGCTAACTTCGTACGGTTATAAAATTCATTCATTTTCTCATTTGAATCAAATGCTATTAATAGTTATAGATGTTTTATTAAGGTATTAATTCTCATAATGATCTATATTTTAAAATTAAATCTAAATTACTAAAATTGATCAGGCGTTCTTTTTCAATTAAAAGGGCTGTAATCAGGTTATTGAGATAAATGAACATTTGGTTTTTTTCCTTTTCATATAATTCAGATTGATATGATTCTTTTCGTTTATGATCAACATTTATCATTGGCTTTTGTTTGTCATAGATTATTTTACTATTAATTGTTGGGTTTATCTTAAGGTAATTTTTTATTGATTCCATGTTCTTTTAAATTCTACACATGAAAACATAGGTTATTCAGTAATTATTATAATCCGAACAAGTACGATTAATTTATATTGTTTATTGTTTTGTACGAATAGTTTAAGTATACAAATACTGTCTACTCACTTGCTTAAGGAATGAAATTGGCGTACGTTGCTTTGCTTCAGTGTAGGTGTAATATTAGAAATATTGTTAACAATTATTAAATTATTATTATCATTATTAAATAATGATTGTTGATGTTAAATCACTAATTGTCCTATAGAAACCGAATACATTATATTTTATACTAACCATAGATTATACCTTTAGACTTTTGATGTGGGCAGCTCATGGCTTGCATGACAGGAAAATAGCACCTTCTACTAAAATTAATAAACAGAAGAAAATGAATTGTATATTTATACATTTTTAAAAAATAACTTTTGTTAAACTGCATTTTTCGTGACACACCAAAGTGATATGTCGAAATTAGTATTTTTTCCCTCGAAGGATGAAGTACTCGTATAAGAAGTACAAAACAACCCTATCTTGTACAATATTGTAGATTTAAATATAGTATAATTAGTATTATGATCATTTATTAAGTATAATTAAAATTATGCCACTGTAGCGTAATTATTAAAATAATTATTTCCATATTATTTATAATGGCAAACAAAATGTATAAATATTTATCTCCATTTATAGGCTAATAAAATCGTTTAATATTACTCGATCACAATTTTATTCTCACATTTTTTCCGTTCTCGCCGATCCGATCGGGCAAATATAAAAGTGTTATTACATTTTAATTATGGTTCAGCGACGTTGTGTTGTGTCGTTGCAACCAAATATTGCACTTGGGGCGAAACATTGAAATGCACCTTAATATATTTTTAATTAAAAAATATTATAATTATTACATATTATTTTCAACAATTGCTTCAATTAATATAAAGGACATTGAAGTAATTGTAAATAAAATATATAATATTAACCGTTGTAATTTTTAACAAAATGCAAATTTTTTATTTTTGTAACCTCTCAGGAATTACGCCGGGGGTAAAGGCACCTATTACCTCTTTTTGTTATGGCTCTGTGTAAGCGCACTATTAGTAATTAATCGAAAATGCTTATAACTCACAATTGTATCATATTTAGCTCACCGTTAGGCCACAAGAAAGTCATGCATTGCTTTACGGTGGTATACAATTTTAAAGAAATTGAAGCGGTAAAATTAGATAAGTATTGACAACAATAATTACTGTAATACGTCTTTACTATTATCGTAGTATCGTAATATTATCGTATTAGTAATATAATATTTTTAAAACCCAGCGGTAATAAAATTTTCGTTTTAGAGCGGAAAATATCTTATGACGAGCCTGTTCATACGTGTATCTTAATAAATATTTCTATATATATACGAATAAGAAAAAAAAATAATAAGAAAAATATCAGTTACAATATTAAACCATTAATGCAGTATTATTCTGTATAGATGACCACCATACTAGTATCGATGTAAATTGAAGACGTGCTTATAACGTGCTTATATGCTTATATACGGTCGAGAGACGATAGTTTTAACCTTAAATAACATATAGATAGAAAACGATTAACGTTATACGTATCTTATAATCGACCATGAAATTAAATAAAATTAAAAACAAGTCTCAAGTTTTAAACATAAATAGATTTGTTCGTATTATAGAATCCACAACTCTACATTTAAATCAGTATTTTATTATTTCAATTCAACATTACTCGTAAATGTTTGATTTATAATGATAATTATATTGTGTTGTGTAGTACGAGTATTACTGCTCACGTACAACCGCTGCATAGACACAATCACTAATATTGATTTTTAGACCTATCTTTCTTACGTACCTATATAATATACTATCTGGCTTTTATTTTATTTAAGAATTCTCAAAAAAATAAAAATATTCGTTATACCATGTACAATCCAAAAGCACGTATGGTATTTAAATTAGTCTTGACAAAAAAAAAAAGTGTCTCGTGTATTTTTTACAGTTTTAATAATTTTTTCACGAAAAATCGCTTATGTCAATCACTTAATTAATTATATTATTGTCTTAAGCTCTTTCTGTGGTCATTAATAATCTTATCATAATAATTAAATACGTAATCTAGTTTTATTTTCTATTCTGTACAGCCATTGAAGAGTTTTCAAAACGTTCGGTTTCTTTGATTTTTGATGAAAAAGATTATTATCGATTATTCATGGTCATGACTTTTATTATAACTATGGTAAAAAAATGAAAAAATATGTGTTTAATATCATTTATATTATTTATGAGCGGTTATACAGGTTTGTAGAGTTCATGAAAACAAAGTTTCTGTAGTTAGATGTAAAATATTATTCTTGCAAAAACACTGTTTAATGACGTAAAATCAAAATTACAAATGAAACCGTACATCTATAAAGTGTCACATAAAGAACGCCGGGTTTCGATTGTAAGACATATGATGATCTGTTAGATTGTCTTATCTATTTGTGGTTTTTGTTTGTTCAGTGTTATCGTAGGTTTATTTATTAGAGATTACGTATGAAGCCGTGAGACGTTTAATTAAAATATAAGTAAAACTTTTTTATTGAAACACGATAGAAAAATTACGAGTATTATACCGTTTGGTCGATATTTAATAATCCTCGACGTGTAAATTACAAATGTCAAATATATTATAATCAGGGTTTAAAGTTGCAAAAAATGGCAGGTTAATCCATATATCATTCTCAGTGTTCCATATAGTCTAATACAATTACTAGGTTATTAATTATAAATAGGTATATATGTTATGAGGAGTTGTTAGTGAACAATTTCCTTCAAAAAACTATTCATGTGCTGTAAAAATGTACAAACTTGTAAATTACTTACCTACTTATTGTTTTAAATAGCTGATTAAAAATTTCTTTTGATAAAATAAAATAAATTAAAAAATTGTATTTATAATTTTATATTGCAATATAATTTATAATTCATATTTAATATTAGTTTTGTTTGTAGAACACTGTTTAACATCTAATGAAATCAATTAAATTGCAAAGACAATTTTTTCAACTGTTTTATTGTGCATAATTATTTTTATTAAACGTTTGAGCATTTCAGTAAACTATTCGAAGAAATATTAAATGAGACGCTTTATAAGTACTTTGAGAGGTAGGAGGACTGATTTCCCTTGCGTCTCCCTCCACTTTAAGCCCTGATTATAGTTGACTTACAATTTGAAAATTTGAAATATTTTCGTCACCTGGCTTTCATAAATCTTCATGAATTTAATACGATTAACAATCAAGCTGGAAATGCGCCTCGTCGTCATTAACACTATAATTATTACTAACATAAAAAAATTAAATATTATGATTAATATAAATTTGAGAGCCGATTACCTAATAGAATATGTCAAATTGATATTAAAATTAATTCCTTTCTATTAATAGAAATATATTATAACACTGTATCGGTGGACAAATATAAACGAAAATAAAAAACGTTAGGTTTTACAAAAGCGAATAAAATTGGCGGATAACTAAATAAGAAAAAAAAACGATGAAGATAGTTATTTTACATAATACTTGAAGTAAGATATCACATAATAAGTAATATTATAATATAATAATATTATTATCATCAGCATGTTTATAGTTAAGCATTTCGGTATTTACTATATAGTTCGTTATGATTTATAGTATCGATAAAATTAACCGCTGTCACATTAACCGAAACTCTTAGGTCGGGTGAGATATAGGAACGGATAAATAATATTACTGTATTTTGAGGTAAAGAGGTCAGGCGAATCAGTTTATATTTTTAAATAGAGAAGATATAGTAAGACTTAATTTTATAATCTGATTGAAATTTTCATGTTCTAACTTTTGCAAAAAATGAAAGTCGTATAGGCATCTTAGTAAAATACATTTACTTAGGTTGAGTTGAATTAATTAAAGGAAGGCTAACTTTTTTCGAGCTAAAGAGTGTCCCCTTACTTTTATTGATCGAATCAGTAAACCTTAAATGTTGCTTTTTTTTTGTGATTTTTCTTCAGTTTTTTGTAATTATTTAGAAAACTGTTTGACACATTTTTAAAATGACTTCCTTATATTAACAAATAAACGCTATCTTCCCATAAATTTGATTACAAGAGCAATCCTGATCAAAATCGTACATATAGAAAAAAATAACATCACACATCATCTCACGATTTAAAAAAGTACTTACTGAATTATGAATTGTGATAAAATAGTAAAGGTTAATTACAAATGTAGTATTCTTTTAATACAATGAGACCTACGTGATAAATACACATATTATAATACTTTGATTTCTAAAGACTAGATTTTTTTAGAATTTAAAAAATAATGAAGACAATTTTAAAATTTTATTTTAAACGCCTTTAGAACTTGAAACCCCGATACATTCCCTGTCCTCTAAATGCGGCACTGACCGTGTTACTCTAATATAGTTTAAAAGATACGATATTCCTGATATATCAAGTGATAAATGTTTCAAATCTAAAATTCAAAAGTCTCAAATTAGTAATTACAATTTTCTAAAATTCTGATTCTGTAAATATTAAAAATTATTATTATACATATTATCCAATAATTATTTTGAAATAAAATTAACATTAATTACTTTTTATAAATTATAGTTTTAATTTTTGATTATCAAAAGATTAAAGATTATTCTGAGGAATGAATAAAAACTTATATTAGTTGCTATTTACAAACGGTTTACCTTTATGTAAACTTTTGTGACAATTTGACCTTGACTTAAAAGAAGCAGTTAATTTTGCTGAAGCCACAGTTTCTCCTTATCAAAAATTACTTGAAAACATTACTTATTAGCTGCAAAAATTGTTTAAAAAAGTTGATCGCCCCCCCTGAATCCGTATTTAAGGAATCAATCATATGTGAGATAAACGTTTCTAATTTTTTTAATGTGGATAATTTTATAAAGATACTTAGTGTTCATACCAGGACACCA